GATTGTGATAAGAGTTGTATGAGCCCCTAGTAAAATGATTTAAAAAAATAAAAAAGCAAGTACCACGGACTGCCAAAAGAACCAACAGATCTGTCTTAGAAGTACAACCATTTTCATCTCTTGTATTTGGGTTTGGGCATATTATCTGGACATACCCATCCCTAGAGAAGGATATCATACTTGGTAAGTGAGGGCTGCAGACAAACAAATAAACAAAAGGCCCTCATGACATGGAGTGATACAGTGGCTGCAGCCATCAGTCAAGCATAAGAACAATGATAAGGATGGCAGAAGACCAAACGGCGTTTCGTTCTGTTGTGCACAGGGTCTCTATGAATCAGATCTGACTCCAAGCCACCTAACACCAACCACACACACTAATCAGAGATCCTTAAAATGTCTTACTTCTGTCAGATGTGGTAAACTATTAAGAAAATGTCTTGAATTGTGATTTCTATTTGCCTATTTCAATCTTATAATTTCACTCTTTATTTTATCCCTAGTACTGAACTTCCTTGTGTTATTTTCTTACACTTCTTCAGTAAGCCAAACACCCCTTGTCAGAGTGTAATTGCACCAAACCACCATTTCACGCACCATAGAACCATTCACGGCCAAAATATATATATAGGACTTTCTGTACAGTCATCTTAGTGGTTTTTAAATGACAGTTTCAGTCTATCTTTGGTGTAAAACATATAAAGTTTATACATTTTGTTATGCAAGTGCTATCATGTTAGAGCAATAAAATAGCCCGCTCTTGGATCTGTCAATTTAATAAGACCATGTGTTTTTTAATTCTGCCTTGTCCATTGTTTCATTTGCTTCTCTATATTCCAGGACCCTATAGCTTAGGGGGTAAAAAGGGAGTTCTTCTCTAAATAAAAGCATTTAGCTAATTATATGTTTATTAAAATTTTGCTTTACATCAGCAGAAATGCCATAAATTTAAGAAAAATTATAAAATAATAGACAGTTTAGTGACTTCTCAAAGAAAAGATGATGCTATAAATAGAACATTTGAATGCCGATGTTTTCACATTGTTATTTTTGTGCTTTATGTCACCTGTTGACTTCCAATGTGCTTGATGAGAGAATTTGCAACAGATGAATGGTTGGTCACTTTTTTATATTACGAATATTTTAAAGCAACATTGTCAATTTCATAAAACCTCATAGAGTAGATATTAGTTTTTTAAAACCTCCATTTAAAAAATGTATAGCCATTTCGGAGAAGGAATGCACCAGACTTGAACTTTGATCTTGGTTTTGTCTAGGTCCTGCTGCGCAACTAGCATTGTTCCAAAACAGCGAGAGTAAACGCTCTGTTACAAGATCACAAAGGACGTCACAACCCAGAAGAGGTGGCTATGTTGAAGGTATGGCTTAATCACAGATACATAGAAATGTAAAAAGCAAATGAAGATTGAGATTTTTATTTAAAACAAATTTGTAACATTTTCAGTAAATCCTAAACTCAAAAGTTATATATGTCTAAATGTAAGTTAAATTATGATTCTTAAAGATAAAATAGAAGTTGAGTATACTCATACATTAGTATACATAATTTAGCATTTGTATCAAGGATTATATGAAATTTAAATTACTGACATAATTATATGAAAGTCTTATACTGCTTCATGAGCATTACTAGTTTTGTTTCTATTGTATACTGACAGATACCAGTAGTCTAGATCAGTGGAGTGATTGCATATTGAAATTATATTTCTATATATTTTTACTGCCAACATATTCATTTTATTAAACTATAAAATATACAGTGGGATTTGAAACATTTATTTTAAATATTATATTAACATACTATATTTAAAGGTTACCAAACTCATGTTGTGAAGAGTTTGCATACTTAGGTGGCAGAATATATTACTAATTTAGATGTTCAAAAGAATTAAGGACTTAATGCTATTAAACTAAAATATTTAAAAGAAATAAGCTGCAAACTTGACATAAAAGAAATTTATCATTACTTTCTTTTATATTTTATTTTGAAATCATTTTATGTATACTCTTATATTGTTGCTTAGAATACCTAAAAGTATCTGAGTAACGATAAACAATTTAAATTTTTTCAATACTTTTTGCATTTCTATAGATATTAGAAAATATGCATATTCATATAACATTTATTTATTTAGGTGTTAATTTCTGTTCTGTAGTATCTCAGACTAAAGAAGAGTCTGGTTGTCACAAAATTTATATTTTTTAAGAATTGACTATACAGTATTTAGGGGTGAAAGACATGGGGCTTAGACTCTTGTTTAAAGTACATAGCAATAAAAACAGATATGTAGATAAAGCAAGTCTTACAAACTATTGAAGTGGATTAATCAATAGATGGTTACATAAAACTGTTTTATCATTCTCTCTCTTTTAATATTTAAAAATTTCATAGTCAAATACATAAATATTTATTGATATATATCTTAATAAAATTAAAATACTTACCCCATGCAGAATAAGGATTCGATTTTAGTCATGATTCATTTCCTTGTTACAGTCTTAACTCTACTATTTCTCTTACAAAATAGGAAGTGTGAAAATTCTGCTAAAATCAATTAACTCCACAGATGCTACTTATTTAATAGGAGGGTTGTTACTTGAGAAAAGGAATGTTTAGAAACAGACACAGAGTGGGCCCTTTAAAGTTAGCACAAACCTCACAATGAGAAAAGCAAAACTTTCTAATACATTCCATGATATTCTCTTGCACTCTGAAATGTGAATGATACCATTTAGGGTGTAATATATTTGTATAGGATGTATTTATTTACTTCTGTGCAAATATAAATATGCTAGGAATCATTCAAAGTAATGATTTACATAAAGTGGCCTATAGAAGACTAAACACTTCTACATATTCATGAACTTTATGATGTAAACCATTGACCCCATCAGTACTGACCCGTCGCTGACCACACCTGCCACGTCACTAACCTTATCATGCGTCAGTTCTCCTGTGAAAGAAGACTGAGAGCCACTAATGGCCTATTATTTTTTCTTATTTATTTTGTATCTTGAAGATTTCTAGCTAATCCCACTGTTGAATATGAAACCCTGACATCATTCTTCTATATTTAGTACTGAGTTTATTAAGTAAGAGTATAGGCTCTGGAGGGGCTCTAATGCAGTTTGTATACTGACTCCACCATCTATTCACTGCATGGCTGCGTTGTTGTGGTTAGGCGCTGTTGAGTCGGTTCCTACCCATTGCAAGCATGTGTATAACGAAGGAAGCACTGCCTAGTGCTGTACACCACCCACAATCAGAGACCATTGTTGCAGCCAATATTGTCAATCCATCTTTTCAAGTGTCTTCCTCTTTCTATGAGAACGCTTTACTCTACGAAACATAATCTACCACTTGTCAAGCACGATGTCCTTTTTCAAAGACTGATTTCTCCCGGTAACATGTCCAAAGTACCAGAAAGGAAGTCTCACCAACCTCACTTCTAAGGAGCATTCTGGCTGAACTTCTTTCAAAATAGATTTGTTTATTCTTCTGTCAATCCATGGTATTTTCAATATTCCTCACCTGTACCATAATTCCAATGCATCAATTCTGTAGTCTTTCTTATTAGTTATCCAACTTTAATATGCATATGCTGCAATCTAAAAGATCATGGTTTGAAGTAAACACACCTTAGTGCTCAAAGTGGCATCCTTGCTATGCACTTTAGACAGGTCTTATATAGCAGAGATGCCCAATACAGCACTTGATTTTCTAATTGCTCCTTCTATACACATTGATTTCAAATCTAAGCAAAATTAAATCCTTGACAACTTCAATATTTTCTCCATTTATCATCATTATATCTATTGGTACATTATTGACATCTGTAGTCCTTAATGCACATCACCAAGTGCTTGAATTCCTCCTCATTTTCAACACACAAGGTTGGGTCATTTGTATATGAAAATTGGTTAATAAGCTTTTCTCCAATACTGATGCTGTGTTCTTTTACATGTACTACATTTTCTATGATTATTTGTTCAGGATACAAGTTTAAGTACATATGATGAAAGGATATGATTTTGATGCACACCTTCTCTAATTTAGAACTACATAGTATTCCTTTGTTTTGTTCAAAAGACTACCTCTTGAACCTTGTACAGGTTCCAAATGAGCACAAGGAAATGTTTTGGAGTTCCCATTCTTCTGAGAGTCATCTACAGTTTGTTAAGATCTACATAATCAAATGCTTTTGCATTGTCAATAAAACCCAAGTAAATTCCTGTCTGGTATTCTCTGCTTTCAACCAAGGTCAATTTGACATCAGCAATGATATACCTTAATCTACATCTTTTTCAGAATCCAGCCTGAACCATGTCAAGGTACATTTGCAACCATTGTTGGATAATCTTGAGTGAAATTTACTCACATGTGATAGTAATGATATTGTTCAATAATTTCCACATTCTATTGGGTTATCTTTCTTTGTAATGAGTACAAATATGAATCTCTTCCAGTTAGTTGGTCAGGTAACTGTCTTCCTAGTGTCTCGGCATAGAAAAGTGAATGCTTCCAGGGCTTCATGAACTAGCTGGAACATTTCAGTTAGTATTCTGTCAATTCTTGGAGATTTAGATTTTACTAGTGTCTTCAATGTAGCTCAGACTTCTTTCTTCAGTACCGTCAGTGATTGATCACATGCTACCTCTTAAAATTGGTGAATGTTGACCTGCTCTTTTTTTTTTTTGAAGATCATTTTATTGGGGGCTCTTACAGCTCATAACAATCCATACATCAATTGTATCAAGCATATTTGTATATATGTTTTTGATACAGTGACTCTAAGTGATCTTTTCATCATATTTGATCCACACCATTCAATATTTTGCCCATAAATTTCTTCAGCAATATAGTGAGAGGCTTGAATTTGTCTTTGGTTCTTTCATCTTGAGATATATTGAGCACGTTCACCTTTTTCAGTTGTCTATCTTCAGGACTTTGCACATTTCACTAGAATATTTTTATTTGTTTTCATAAGCTTCCCTTAGAAATTTTATGTTCATTTCTTTTACTTCATTATTTCTTCCATTTGCATTAGCTGCTCTATTATCAGGATTAAATTTTGGAATCTCTTTACTACATTTTGATCTTTTCTTTCTTGTCTTTTAAATGATATTTTGTTTCTTTATATATTATGTTCTTGATGTCATCTTACAGCTCTTTCGTCCTAAGTGCAAACAGTAAATCAAATATGTTCCTGAGATGTTCTTGAAATTTAGGTTGGATATGCACTTGAGTTTGTATTTTGGTTCTTGTAGGCTTGTTTAAATTTTCTTTATCTTCTACTTTAACTTTCATTTGGGAAATTTATTATTTGTTCCACAATAATCCCTGGCCTTATTTTGGCTGCCAATTTTTAGCGTCTCTATCATCTGTTTCCTTTGATGTCATCAGTTGATTCCTGAGTATTATATCTGGCAAAGTTCATGTCCACAACCACCATTTACATTGATGAGAAAAAGGTTTTCCAATGAAAAAATTGTGGGTCTTTCAAAAATCTGACATATAATTTCCAGCATCATTTCCATGACCAAGAACATATTTTCCAGTCACTATTCCTTCTTCTTTGTTTCCAGATAGTGCAATCTGATTGCCAATAATTATCAATATATCTTGATTGCATGTCTTATTGATTTTAGGCTTAAGACGTTGGTAGAATTCTTTAATTTCTTTATCATTGATTTTCATAGTTGGTCCATACATTTTAATAATAGTGTTAACCGAGTTTCCTTATAGTTATTACCCTATCACAGATAGTAGCACTCTTCACGTTAGATCTTGGAAAGTGCTTTTTCACAATGGGTGATACAATTCCTTTTGAACTTGTCATTTCCAGCCTAGTAAGCCATAGGACTAGACTCAAAATGGCCAATGCCAGTCCGTTCAGCCCAGTTATGCGTAGGATATCAATCGTTATGTGTTTCATTTCATTTTTGACAACTTCATTTCCATAGCTTTCTACTACTTTCATTCCACTTAAGATTATTGATGGATTTTTACAACTGTTTCTTCCTGTTTCTTCCCATGCTCCATCAGCAAATGAAGGTCCCGAAGGCCATACTCCTTTCACATTCTGAATGTTGACGCAACTTTGTAGAGGGAGCTATTCGCCAGTCGAATTTTGAGTACCTTTCAACGAGAGGGGCTGATATTTCAGCACCATATCTAACACTGTCCTGATGTTACTCATAACTGTTCAGAGGGTAATTCCTCAAAAGTGGAGAGCTTCTTCCTTCTTCAGAGTTGTTCTTAATCTGAAAGCTCAGAGGAAATAAGTTCCATTGTGGTGACCTTGCTGGCATTTGAAATACCAGTGACAGAGCTTCCAGCATCACAGCAACAAGCAAG